TTCGACGGCAGTTCGAGTCCCGGGCCTGGTGGCTTAAACTCACGGTAGGCGATGTGTGTGCGTGCCCAAAATCCCGAGAGGAGGAATAGGGGAAAGGGGATTGCGGTGTGGCCACCCCCCCTTGGGGGGTGATTTCTCGTTTTCCATCTCTCTGTCTCTCTCTGTCTCTCTGGCAAGCACATGTACCCTATAGCAAAAATCTCTCCAACATAAAAATAATAATACTAAAAACAAATAAAGTTTAAATAAATAAATAAATAAATCCTTTATTTTTTTTAGAGAGAGAGATTTTTGCTATAGGGCGTGAGCTCACTGGAGAGACAGAGAGACAGAAAGCGAGAAATCACACACACACACCCAGGAAGGATGGCCACGCCGCAATCTCTTCTCCATTCTCCTCTCGGGATCTTGGGCACGCATGCACACGCGCCCGGCATCAGTTTAAGCCACCAGGTCCAGGACTCGAACCTTGGTCGACTACATGGGAATTCAGCGACATAGTCGTTATGCCAACTGCTGGTCCCCAGGCCACATGTTTTAATCGCATGTGTTCAGATTGGCTGCTCTCCACACTGTATGCTAGTTTTTATTTGCCGTCAAATTCCCAGCACAACACCTGGCATGGAACAGGCACCCAGGGGACAAAGTGCTGTCTGGGAAGCAGGCTTCAAGCCAACACAAGGCTTTGTTTTCCTACTTACATGGAGTTGGAGTTTCGAGAGAAATTTGGTACTGAGTTTTGCTTTTTTGGGGGGTGTAGTAGTGGGTATTAGCCGCTATCAGACCTGCATATTCTCTTATTCTTTTAAAAGAATTGTTTTATTTTATTTTATTTATTATTATTATTTTATAATTTGACCAGCGACAGAGAGAGAGAGAGAGAGAAAGTGAGAAAGCAAACTGCCAGGTCTGGGACTTGAACCATAGTTGGCCATGTGGGAGTCTAGTGCTTTAACCCCCCTGCCACTTGCTGGTCCCAAAACTGACATATTCTCTTTTTTATTAGTGATTTTTTTTTTTTGAGAGGTTTTTGCTATAGGGCACATATGCTCTCCAGAAAGTCAGAGAGAAACAGGGAGAAAAAGCAAGAAATCACCCCCCAGAGGGGATGACCACGCTGCAATCCCTTCTCCTCCATTCTCCTCTCAGGATCTTGGGCACGCACACACACAAGTGCCTGGCATGAGTTTAAGCCACCGGGTCAGGGACTCGAACCACGGTTGAGTCCACTGTACTACATGGGAGTCCAGCAACATGACATAGCCATTATGCCAACTGCTGGTCCCAAAACTGACATATTCTCTTGAGTCTAAGGATATAAAAATAAGACTGAGGGCCAGCTGGTGGCAGGATGGTTAGGGCAGCTGGATCCCATCCTGCCAACTGTGTGGTTCGAGTCCTGGATCCAGTGGCTTGAAAA